AAGATGCAGTACATCAAGGGAAAGGACTCTCTAAAACGCTCTGTCCCTTTGCCTCATTTATTCATGGGCAAATAAAGCTGCAAGCAGGTTCAAGAGAGACTGAGGAAATTGAAGGTTACCAACTTCAGCTTAATTTTAGCTAAATCTCAACTAAACTGATACAAAGTCTATTCTGCACAGCTCATGCCCATCTGCTTTTCTCCATTTGCCTTCTGCATTGCTGTGAGCAAGCCTCTTGCTCACAAAAGATTGCAGTCCTAATACTATTTCAAAGATTTTCTGTTCACAGTAATTCCCCTGATTCTCAGTCCTCTTTTCCCTCACAAATAGTCAAAGGGGTCCTACATGAGCACACTCAAGCTGATTGGGATTTTTCTTTTACTGTACAGAGCTGAGATGCTGCAGGGAAACATTCCTGGGTAACCAGCGGCCCTGAAACATATACATCCATGGACTGAGTTTTTTATGGGTTCACAGCACATGCACGTGTAATTTTCAAGTTTTGGATAAGTAGAGGGAAAAAACTGCCTCTTTCAAAGGTGCAGGGAGACATTTTTTATTAGTTTAGCAAGAACTGAATAGTCTTGGTCAAAGATATTTAAAGCAGCAAGGAAATATAACCCTCCAAGTCCCATAACCTTCAAAACACCCTGCAGAATGGTAAAACAATCAGATTAGAAGCACTACAAAATGCCCACTTCAGTCCTTTGCAGACATTCCTTTGTACATGCTTCTTGCAGAAAACTCCCTCTTCCTTCCAATGCAAGTCTCTGGAGGTGCCTGAGCAGTCCACTTGGAAGTCCTGGTTCTCCAGCTGCAATATCCTTCTCGAACTCACACGTTCTTCCTTAGTAAGCGTAATTCTTATTTTTTTCCCCACGCACACTGTGCTTTATTTACTATTAACATGTCTTACATCCCTAGAGTGTGCCAACTACTGAAAAAAGTCAGTGAGGTGATCTTTGATTCTCAAAGATTTCAGGGATTTTCACAGGGCGGCAGCTCCTGGTCTGGGTGCCTAGCATTCCTCTATCCTGACCCTGAAGGTAGCCAATGCCTGATACTGAGCAGAGGGGGAGCCTTTTAGAATTTACCTAATGACATGTTTTAAAGAAGAGGCTGTTAAGTTCTCCCATAAACTATGAAGCCTGAAGCAAAAAAATTAAAGCTCTATGATATTATACCCCTCTATGTGAGTCCCTAATTGCCTGCAGCAATAAGTTCCATCAATATTTTTTTTTCTCCCCTTTATTAAACACTCTGTACTTTAGCATGACGTTCCCATCACTACAGGATGTCTCTTCACTGAAGAGAGAATTAGACTCTTTCTGTCTTCCCTTATGAGCTTTTCACTGACTAATGGCAATGCTTAGGTCTGCTACCCTTTCTCATTCTGGTATGCAAGAATACACATTACATACTTTGGTATAGCCTCACCATCAGAGCTAGACTTAGTTATCATAAAAGTTTACTAAAAATGTGTGAGTATTTTAACTGGAGCTGATCAGAACAGCATCTAGGAATGATACAGAGAGCTGACATTAGTTTCCATGGTATTCTGTTTGTTTGGGACACGTTATGTTCCTAGTTTCTGTGGAATAAACACATTTTCATTGTCTTGTCCTCAGTAGAACCCAATCTCCTTTTTTAAAAAAAACTTTCCTAAAAAAAAAAAGTCAATAAACTGTTCCTTCCACTGACTCAACAGGGATAAGTCTAGGTAGTTTGCCACTATGTTCTTCACTTATCCATGTTACTGTTTAACAGGACTTTTAACAACCCTCCAAATCTGAATTAACTTCAAGTGTAGGTCACACTTCATCAACTCACTTTTCACTGTCCTTAGGACCCAAGTTAGCCTTTAAGGACTTTGCCTTTTGCATAGCATTTAAACAGCAGCTCCCTTTTGGCCACTGTTCTCTTTATACTTTTGGAGAATTACTTGCCCCTGGAAAAAACACCAGTTAGTTTTGCAAAACTTGCCAGAGCTTCACCCAGTCACCCTAAAACTAATGCCAGCACTTCCTTAAACCAAAATAATTTTTCTCACCATTTCCCAGCTGATATCATGCTCTCTTACTTCTTATGACAGCCTCTGGTATGAGCTTTAAAGTTAGGCCTACAAGGCACAGCCTATTTCTCCAGTCTAGCAACTCTTCATAGCGATAAATCAATTCATTGTTTTCAGTAACAGAAATATTTCACTCCGCACTGTCAGCTCAGGTTAATTCTGCCTCAGGCTGGTGACCTGTACCAACATTCTCAACTTTTCCACCTTGTCATGAACATCTCCGCTGCGGGCAGAATCAGATTGCACAGCTGGTAATCATGAGGATAAAATTTCTTGGTGAAGCTTACCACCACTGACAGTTTTATTATTTTTCTTTTATGGTTGCATTTAAAAATGCAAAAACACAATTCAAATGCTCTAAGTCCAACTGGGTTAATTTTTTCTTTAATGACTAAAAGTTGTGTTAATCTCTTGCTTTCTTTATATTCACTGTAATCTAGGTTGTAGACCATTTCACATCAACTAAGGATTTCTGCAGCATGTTTTCAATGTCTCATCTTAAAGTCATTTACCTTTAGCTGAACTTTTAAAATGCTCCCAGACAACTGGATGATCAGAAGTAATTTCCAATTGGGCCGTGGATGTTGGTGTGCCGTTATTCAAAACTAAGTACTTGCTAGCCATTTTTACAAAGAATTCATACTTGTAACTTCCCTTATTAAAAATAGCCTCCATTTTTTATTCCTCTTTTGGAGATTGTGTTCAAATCTCAATGAACTGAAATCAAAGGTCTGTTCACTTCACAGACAGCTCCCAAGTTTGAGGAAGAGCAGGAGAATGTTTACGAGGAAAAAGGTTTTCATGACAAGATTTCTCTGCAAAGGATCTGGGCTTCATATTTCTTGATAAGGAGATACTCTGTCAGTGCAGAACATGTGCTTCCCTAGTAGTAGTTTACACAGCAGCTTTTTTTTTTTTTTTTTTTTTGCCTTCTTCAAGAGAACACCCTGGTCATGCAGAGCATGCAACTTGAAGCAAAATTTCCTTTACTTATTTCAGAGTTTGAACATACAGCAGAGAGCAGGTATTTTCACAGGCATAAGCACTTGGCTTCTTAAGAAACCTCTCAGCCTGCTTATCGATCTACCTGGGGTGGGATCCCCTTCAAAAATCCATCCTTTAATACAAAACTTGATCCACAGAAATAATGAGCCATGTCTGTAAGCTGAGATACTCCACTACTGAATAGTGAGTAATGGTACTTGCATTACATTCAAAAACACCTACAGCATTATGTAGCACACAAAAATAATAACCCATTCTCCAAAAAGCAGGCACTTCCCCGTATCTCAGGAGGTATCAGCATCCTACAGCCCCTGGCCATGCAAGGGGTGAGGAAAACCTGGAATGCTGAATCCTAGGGCTCCCTTGGAAAAAGATCCCCTTCCTCAAGGCTCAGCAGGTACCAGAGCACAGCTACAGCTGAAGGTGCATCAGCTTGCTACCATTATCTGCCACTTCTGCCTTCTAAGTTGTACAGACTGAAATAGCTTCTACTTCATTGCGCTTTCCCTTTTATTCTTGGAAGGAAGTGAAACACCTGAAGTAGTTAGGCTGCTCTACTCCTTCCACTTTTCCCTCCCAGAAAATGGTCTCTTGGCAGCTTCTGCCACCTCACGTTATCTGGCATCCCACAGCATCTTTGCCCAGCTCCACTGGCACAAAGACAGTACTATTTGCCGACTATTCTGCCTCTGATTTCTCTCCTAGGCTAGCTGTGACCATTTATCCTACTGAAGACTGTCCTAGGTAACCCAGTAAGACAAAGAGCAATAACATATTCACTATGGGCAGGTCATGTTCTCCCTCCTGCTGGATCCCTTACCCGGTCACATAGCATGCTGGGGGGGCCTTCTGCAACAAAGAGCTGAGAACCAACAACAGCTGAAAACAATTAACTAACTGAGCAGACTGCAGAATAACTGCATCTGTTCTAACAGGATAGTCACCTTTACTGAAACTCTCCTTAAAGTCCTCATGAAGGCCCAAGTGCTACAGCACTATGTGTTTCAGCAAGTAGCTGGAAGTGGCTTTGCTTTTAAAATTTAAGATTAGTTGCTCTGCGTTATAATGTCTGTATTTAAGATTATGTAGTACACTCCAACTGGGGAATAAGTATTAAGTATATTAACTCACTGGAACTGATAAAGTAATGAGTAGGTATCATTCCCCCCTCCCTTCCCCAAATATCACATTTGTAAATAATTCAGAAAACAACAGATCAGGTTTAAGTGATCAGGCAGGTATTTACAGCAAATCAGATCTAAAATGACTGTTTACTCACAGATTAACTCCTCAGCAATTCAGCTTGCCAGCTAATCAAGCACACACCTTCAGAAAAGAACTAAAGCACAGGAGAAACACCTGCCTTTCACTTACAGTGATCTGGTAAAATCAAAGTAGAGAGGGAATTTCTGAAAGAGAAATTTCAGTTCACAGAAAACACTGAAGATGTTTTAAAATTGCTGTATATCACATCATTTTAAATTTATCACTGAACTGTTCTGTGATTAAAATAGAGAAGGCAGCAAGTCCTTTTAACATTCTCTTTGTGTCTGAATATAAATAACTTCTCACTTTTGTAAAGTATCCTGGACAGTTAAAAGCATGAACTAGACTGTATAAACGCAGACTTGTTCAAAAGCAACAGCATGCCTGGGCACTTTTTGAAGTCGTCAGAGAAGCATAAATCTAATGGTCTGAGTCTACCACGACCTGGAAGCCATTTAATTTGCTTGATCAATCTTCGTAAAGTCCTCAATAAGGGGGTTACAATCAAAATGAAAGATTTCTGATACAACTTTTGCGATGACAACATTATAAAAACAAACACAACTATGCTGGATAGGAAAATGAATCAGTATTAAGTGAGGCTTATATAAAGCTACTACTGACAGAGCTCCCTCCAATACCATCCAATTTGCTTTATTTTAATCTTTATTATAAACAATTTTGTAGTTTCCAGAATGTGATTACTACATACCAGGTAAAAAAAGCATCCTTAGCTGAATCAGTTATATCTTTTACTAGATTAAATCAGAACCAGCAAACCAGAAATATTTATTATCTTTTAGGGATTTAGTCTACTGAAAGAAAAAAACATTTACAAACAAAGAATTAAAGATGCACATTTGATCATATATACATAAGCAGCTGATGAAACTCTGGACAGACAGGTACAAGGAACCTCTTTGCACATAAATAGATTTTTAAAAGTATATTTCTTTCACATGTATACAAAATTATTTTGCTTTCTATACTGAACCAATTTCTCAGAGACATTAAAAGGATTTTCTAAGAGATGGATTCCCACGTATCACTTATGATGTGGGCAGTCATGCACCCAAGGATGTAGTAACACAATTTACACAGCACTCCTATACAATACTTGAGCTCTTTATATACATACTTACAAGTCACTTTTGTACATGAGATGCCACCTTTGCAATTGAAATGGCATCTCCCCTGAAAAGGCTGCATTAGTTCCAGTGTTTGTATAAAACGAAAAACAAGTTTCAAAAGGCAGCACCGCTTGGCTTTCAGAGTCAAGGATCCACCGAGCTGCAGCTGTAGTGAAGGCAGTGTTACACTGACCTCTCTGTGCTTGGACAGTCCCAGTGGGGAAGGTTAAGGTGTGACCCTTGAATTCTAGGCATTGCATCTCTAAAATGGGGCTGTGGCAAGGAGAATTGATTTAGCAGATCCATGGCTGCAGCCATGCACGTTCAATCTTGTTTTCTCTTTAAGCTACCACAAGAGTCTGGTTCTGTCTTCTGGGGGAGAAGTTTGGCTTTTACACGACCTTCTCAGAATGGTTTAAGTCAAGAGGGGTGGGGGCAGGACTCAGCACACGTGACCTGTGAAACTCCTCTTTAATGCAGGTAGGAGGGGTGTGTAGTGCTGTGATGACAGAACAGGCTGGATTTTCAGAGGACCCTGCTAGCATCTCCTGGAGCAGAGAAAGCTCAGCCCATCTGAGAATCAGGAGCAAAGCCTGTTGTGGGATTAGGTCAGGCTTCCACTTTGTTTTAGGCACAATAGTGTCAAAAGAAGAATCAGGGTTTTGCTCCTTTTTTCCCTCTTCATCACAGAAATTACTTCGTCCAACTAGAAAACAGTACTCTGAGAACATTTAGATCAGTGTGCAGGTGACGCCCTTTAAGATCTGGCGCAGTGTCTAGATGAATGCTATGCCGGACGTCAGCAGTGCCAAACATACAAACTACTAGCTGCATCTGTGGGTTACACACACCCATACTCATACCAAACAGTCTGCTGATCCCCTTGGGGGTCCGGAGAGCCAGGAGTGCCGTTGGAGCTGCTTCCTCTGACAGGCTCCTCTATAGCCCCTGTGCTGCATTCTGGCAGCTTACCCTGGCACTTGGTATGGAGGGCATCCCCCTGGCCTTGTCCCAGAGAAGCACTTCCCTCAATGCTACTGGGAACAGCTCTGGCAGGGGTCGCTGTGACCACCTCCCCAGAACGAGGGGCTGTCTTGGGTTTGACTTTAGAGGGAGCGTGTGGTGCAGATGAGTAGTGTTGCCCAGGGTTCACTCGCTCCTGTTGCTGCACGTTCAGATTGCTGGTGGATGCAGCGGGTGAGGCAGAAAACTGATGGAAGGAGAGCGGCCGCTCGTCTTTTGGTGGGGCTAGCGAAAGACGCCTCACATCAAGCTGCCGACAACGAGAATCAATACCTTGCAAGGAACCTGCCACCTTTGCAGACTGTGGCCTCTCTCTTAAGGTTGCCTGGGAGTTGGTTGGCACAGAAACCCTAGAGGCCTGATTGACAGTGTCCTTGCCTCCACGCAGGTCTGCTGCTGACTTCTGGGGGGTCTCCTGCCTGTATGTCTCTGGGCCGGTGGCTCTGAGGAGGTCTGCAGAGGCTAAACTAAATGCCCTGCTCAGTGATGTGCTCCTTCGGCTTGTTCCAGGCTGCTGTGGTTGTGCCATCTGCCGCATCCCACTGACGGGCTGGTGCTGTGGCATGTGAGGAAACTTAAGGGACCCCTGGGAGTTTGTCAGAGGCTCAGGTTCAACTTGTCTGAGGTTTGGCTTCACAAAATTACCAGGCTTAGTCATTCTTCCCTCTTCATTGGCAATGGTCATCTTTACAGTTGGAGAAACATGACTAGTGGGCATCTTAGCAGCCTCCTTTCTGGATGAAAGAACCAGCAGGTTTCCAGTAGCTGAAGACTCATTTGTTTTCCTAAAATAATCACTCAGCAAATCATCTCTGCTACTGGAGGTGTCCTGGTGTGAGAAAATATGCACATGCCACATTAATGAGAAGAATTTTTGTGTAAAGCATCACGCAGAGCTTTGCGTTCAGACAATTTTCTCTCCCACTCATTTGTACAGAGAGACCCTAAAGACTCCAATGCAATCATAGATTTTATATCTAAAAGCTGGGAACAGAAGATAAAAATGCTTATACCAGATATATATCCAAATCAAAGAGTTAAATGCTCATCATAATTAGATTGTGACAGCCTTGCTTGCCAGATTAATTGCCATAAATTAAAAAAAAAAAAATCTCAGTAGCAACCTGGGCAGCAGCTCTTTTGCTTCCTTTGACATCAGCCATTGTCATCATAGCATCAATGTCATATTAATGACATCAGCCATTAGTATCAGCAGGTATCAATGACAGCCTGTCATTTTCCAGGATGTAATTCATCTGGATAACACTCTAAGGTAACATCAGGGATGTAACAGAATACCTAATAATGCGCTAGCATTGCAAGAAAGATTAATTGCTGCTTGCCTATTCACCTCAGCTCTCACAGTCTTATACTACATCTGTTAAAGTCTGCATGTACAATACGCTGAGATATACAAAAAATAATTACAAAAATGGAGAAATGATTGCTTGCCCAGAATTAACTTGAAAATTTCAAAGTGAGACAATTATCCTAGCTGTAAAAGAAAACATACAATGAAAGTTACATGGGGATGGTCCATGCAAATCACCAGCTGACACTGGACTATTAGCATGAGGCATGCTGATAACAGTTAAAGGGCAAGCTCTCTGCCTAAATAATGTGCTGAAACAAGCTCATGAAATTTATTTATCTCCTCTTCTCTAGCGAGTATGTTAAGGCTTAATATATTAATTTCATTAGATTTCCAAAGGCTTCTTCCAGTCACAAAACTCATTTACTACAAGTGAACGCTATTAGTGGTAACAGTGGTTAAAATACAGCTAGAAGATTTCTACGCTCAACTTAACGTTAAAGTGTTAGGTTATTTTTATTTTAAACTGCTGCTGTGCCCACTAACAATACAGAATTACTACTCCTCAAAAAACGTTTATGTTTATGAACAAGCACTGGAAATTATGAGCAATTAATGCAAGTGATTTGGCAGCCTTAGTCTTTAAAGTAACAGCCAAGAGTTACAGTACGCTTTCTATAGGTATTAATGTGCTAGCCAAAAGCTGCGTTAAGTTGGGAGCTGTTGCCTTCATAGCAAGAACAATGGATACCCTGGGGATATACAGTGAAGTAGATCTCCTGTTTCCCCTGCCTGTTCTGTGCCTCACGCTGTCAGGACATGAATGACTGAGGACTGATTCGAGTGACTGTGAAGGATCCTGATGAAGGGAAGGACACAGGGAGTGGCAAGAGGGATACAGTGCATCAGCTTCTAACAGAAATTGGTGCAATGAAATCATTTCACTCTCATTTAGACTGCGCCGACGCTGAAAAGGAACAAGGATGACAGAAAGAATGAAAATGGAGACATGGTCAGGTATTTACAGACAAAAAAAACACAGACAAATATTAAACATGTCCAAAAGCTAAAAAATTGTACTTAGGATAACACGAGAATAGGAGACATTTAAATATTGGTCTGAAACTTCAAGGACCAGAATTCACTCATGTCATAACATGGTACAGCTCTGTGGATTTCAATTCTGCTACTGAGGCATTCATGGAACAGGAGCATCTGTTTGCTTACACCGTCAGTGAATTGGCCTTAAGACATTAATACGATTGATACTGCACCACTTCACTGCTAAACAGCATGTCTGAGCAGTAAGTGACAAATACCATCTAGAAAACAAACATTTCATTTCTGACAAAGCACTTTAGAGTGTGGCACATTCTTGCAGCCACTGAGCCAACAGAACAGTGCTAATCAGCGCACACACACAACAGTGTAGTGAAAGCACTGGGAATGTCCTTCAGTAAGGAAAATAGTATCCCAAATGCAGTGACAATATTTTCTGATCAGGAGATGTTTTTAAAAAAATATGCGTATTTTTTACTTCAATTGAAAATTACTGTTAGTTTTCACTTCTAGTTACAGATACAGCAGCTGCAAAATGTAGCTGAGAGCTCTGTGACTTCAGATTAATTCCACGGAAAAACATGTGGAAAGCTTACTAGTTCACAAATAAATACACCTGGAGCTCAGAACTGGTGACATAATAGGAAAGCTTAATCATAAAGTGTTTGATTTCAAAAAGCCCCAGCATTCCAGTACATATTAATTACAATGAATTTCCTGACCTGCTGTAGGTAATTTAGCAAAATAAATTGTGTGTGCTGTGTAAAAGTTAATCTTAGTTCTTGCAACTGCTTCGTTCATTTAATTATTGACTTGCAAAATCTGATCGTTCTCTGCAAGTTCCACAGGTATTTCCTAGTTTGCTTATGCCCTCATACCCCCCCAAACCAGCTCTGAACAGTTTTGTGGCATCTGAGATGGGTTATCTAGTTCTATGTACTTACACTTGGTGGGGATAGCCTGTTGCTCTCTTCCAGGAACTCTTCCAAAGTCACCATCTCACTGCCAGGTGAGGCAGACCGTTGCCTGCCTATGTAAGACTGGGCTGGAGTACTCTTCTGAGGTATAGAGGCTAAGCCATCCCTGTGGAAGAAGGACTCATGCCTGCTGCTAGGGCCTAAGATGGCTGAAGCAGAGTGAAAGGAATAGTTGTCTTGGAGCAAGACTGGTGCCTCTCTGCTTGGCACCATATCTTCACTGCTGAGGCTCTCAGTTCTACCATGGATATGGTCTGAGGAACCTGAGAAGAAGCATAAATACCATTAAAAATACTGATTTTCCCTCATTTTAGCAAACTTCTCACCGAGATATGAGCTTTATGATCCAGGGCCATTTCCACAGACTAGATGAAATTTTTCTCATTACTTTCTTCTCCCACAAAACTCAAACAAGTCATAACTCTGAAAAATCAGAACTAGTGAATGTCTTACAGCATATCCTCTGAGCCCCTATGTTGCACAAGCACAGGTACTTGCCCAAAGAATAGCAGCAACTCAGATAAGGAATTTTATCTATTTGGCCAAGTCCTCTACTGTAACTGAGGAGTAGAAAGCAATACTAGTTTTGTTTTCTTTCTGTCCAATGGGGAAGTATAGTCCCCAATCGTAAACCTCCCCCTTTACAGTCCCCCTGTAAACCTCCAGGTTATGTGGCTGTTAGAGGCCTTTGGGAAGTGAAAGAGCAGGAAGGAACTGACATAGAATAAGAATTGCTCAAAACAGGACCTCTTTACCACTGCTGTGCTGCTAGAAGATCCTCAGTCTTGATTGTGTGCAATTAGAGCACCTGAATCTACCACTGGTAAAGCAGAAAGTGGATTCTGCCACAAAACTCTCTCTGGTTTACTCTTCAAAGGCTCAGAATTTTAGCACATCTATAGAGCACGTTGATGCCCTGCACAAAGCGGCGTAAAAAGAATGGCATAGAACTGTTTTTGTAAAAGGAGTTTGGGTGGCGTGCTACTTCCCAGAACATGATGCCAGAGTGAAGCAAAACCAGATTTTGTCTCTAAATTCACCCCTTGCCAGAATCAATCTTAGAGAAATACTTCTTACCACCAGTGTTTTGGTTCCCCAGACAGCCAAGTCCAGATTACATAATCATCACAATTTCAAAATAACAGTCTTCAAATTTCTTTGGAAGGAAAACAGTATTTTGCATACAATTTAATGTAATTTCACTTCCTGTTTGTCCACACTCAGGTCTAAAAGCTTTACCTTTCAAGTTGAGGGGTGAACTACTGCTGGATGCGTTTCTACTGCTCTCTGAACTGTTTGGCCTGGACACTGAAAAGACAAAACTAGCATTTAACAAGCACAGCTTGGGTTTTTTTTTAACTTTCTGAAAGACTTGGCTATGGCCAGCCTTCTGAAAACAGACCTAAGTCACTCTGAAAACATTAACAACGTACTATGCACAAGATGGCAAACGTAATATACACAGGATAGCAAAGGTCGGACACAATAGAAATCATTCTCGTTTTTTGAAGCCAGTTGTTTAGAAACATGTCATTTTCTCACTCACATTTTTTGCACAAAGAATTATGTTCTGCATTTTGCTTTTAAATCTATTATACACAGAATAGTACTGCTGTGCTGCTCTTCCTGTGTCCTCTCCCTCCCCCCTGCCAAATCTTTTATTGCTGATTCACTCCCTTCAGGAAGGCATTAAACTTTATTTGGAAAAATAAGCATCAAATCTGTAGCACATGCATTAAAATGGCTCTTGCTGTGGCGAGTCAATTTGTTTCAACATCAGCATTATTTCTGAAAATTTATTTTGGAAAAACATCCATTAAAGCTTCTCAGGAGAAAAATAAACTATTTAGGTTCACATTCCCAAAATGCTTTTGTGTTACTACATCTCATTCTATCATGTTTATTTAACTAAAATGCTCCAAGATAGTTCATAGGGATGCAATGAAACAAGTCTGAATGTAGAGTTAGAGCATTCTTAACGCTTCAAACTTACCACGTTGCCTGGTGCTTGCAAACTCTACCTCAGGGGACTGTTCACATAGATTATCGTCTGAATTATAGCCTAGAAAGAAGATAAAACTTAACAGGTAATATTAAACACACAGGAAGGTCAGTCCTTCAGGTCAATCTCCACAAATTCTTGCAGTGTAAATGACTGAGGTGACTGAGCGGGTTTATAAAGCTGGTACTGGGAAGAGCAGCCATCCTCCAACCACTGCTATGAATCACTGGGCAGGGAACCAGGGGAGAACTGGCTAATATACTCTCACATGGTCTCTCAAGTTGACAGCATTACTAGGGTAAAGAAATCCAGTATCTGATCAATTAAACCACTGAGCAGATAACGCAGGAGTGAAAATACTGCTGTGCTCTGTTTTTTGTACTTGACTTCCACTAAAAGCCATGTTTCATCCAGGCAGGAACTACAAAGTAGCCTGATCTGTACAAACTGATAGATCAAATGCAGCACACACCTTTTGGTCTGCTCTGGAGCCTGGAGATGGGGGTGGAAGTGTGCAGGTGAATAGCTGAGGTAGAGTAAGTCCTGGAACCCAGCTCTGCACAGTAGTGCTTTGCTGCAGAGTCTGCCGAGATTTCAACGTTATCATTGCTGCCTCCATGATGGGAATTCCTCTTTTGCTTCAGGTCCGTTAGCACTGAGGGAGGGAAAGGTAAAGAGACACGAGTCAATGACAAACAGCATAAGGAGACTTGCATTTATCCACCCATATAAACGTGACAAGCAGGCACAAAAAAACTGCACAAACAGAGGCGCTACTTTTGCAAGCTTTTCCATTAACAGTTCAGTATTGGGTAGGAAACTTCTGCCAGTTTTTCAATCATGTGTGCTCTCAGTAAGGTGTGGGAGTGACAAGGGCTGTTTAGTGCCAGTGGGAAGGCTGATATTATACATGCAACAGCTACCGTGAAAGGAGGAAGAAAAAAAGGAACAAAGATGTGAACGCAGAAAAAATAATTGAGGTGTGAAATTCCTTTAACATTGTTCCTTGCAGGCACATTTTATAAGCACTTACTTCAGTAATCAAATAGAATAAGGAAACAGTAACAAAAGTCACACTCCTTTTCAAAGAGAAAATAGTCTTGATTTGGCAATTATCTAACATGACTGACATACTAAGCAAATTACATTCAACTCTACATCTTTGCTGCAATAAGAACAGAATTAAGACTCTGCTGCTCTTATGATGGCTTTGCTGCAGTGATTTTTAGGTGGAATTCCTGAGCCCTTTGCAGGAGAGCAACAAAAATTACCTGCTAGAATATTACTTAAACTTAGAAAGCTGAAGACATCTTTCCTAGTGATGAGGCAGATTAAATTCTTCAAATTTTCTTCTATTTTGTGTGTATTTTCAATTGTTAGATACACACTGCAGGAAATAAATTACTATAGGAACGGGCCTTAACGAGATGCAAGATACTAGCTTCCTATATATTTCTATGAAGAACATGTGTAACTAATAGTAATAAAATGCTGAAAACAAGCAAAGCACAGTGGTCAAAATAAATGACTTGCAGAAACAGAGGACAGTTAGTTCAAAGCACAGAGCAGCAGCAAAGCTGTATTAGAGAAAATGGATCAAGTTACTGTTGACTTAGATGACTCTTAAACTTAACATCTTCTGCTACAGTCTGTGTGTGAAGCCCCATTGCACAGGGCCTGCACTCTCTCACAGCATTGAAATTTATAGCACTCTTGTAGTGGCAATTACAGGCTAAAGCTTGGCTCTGATAGTTTGTATTTCTAATTGACTTTCCATAGATGCCAGTTTAAGTGCATCTTCAATGTGTTAATTGCCCTTGAGATAGATATTCTCTATAAATCCAAAAAAAGGGCAGCAACAGGCTGCTGTGCCAGCATCCTTGGTCTTGCCATGGAGGGACCACTTCTCAGAGTCAGAAGGAAGGTGAGGTTCTGTGGTCTCTCTGCTGAGCTCCCCGAAAGCGTCCTGCCTGGCACGCACACGCTTCTCCAACACGGAGAGGGGGCTGACACTGCACGTTCATTTCGGAAGCTGCCAGAGAGCACCTATCAGGCAACAACAGTTCTGGGCAACAGATCCATGATGGAGGTTACTCCCAGTTTTAAGAGAACAAATTTATTTTTCCCCTTCCAAAAAAACCCTCTCAAAAGCAGAGTAGCAAAAACTTAAGCCTTATGTCCAATCCAAAATGAATTTTCATAGCTGGAATTCTAAAACCTCTAAGTAACAAGTTAGAATTCAAATATCAAAACATCTTGTGGAGAATAATTTTCCCAGCAGCTTCTAGCTTCCACTCTATATTCATAGCTAGACTATTTGAAAGCAAAGATGTTACACAATTGGCATTTTTATATTTAGCTGCACAGAATACCGGAAAATTCTCCAGTATTTGAAGGTGCTTGTATGTTAGGTTTGCACTTTTTTCCCGGTAGGACTAGAACATTGTAGAAAGCATAGCAACAGCAGACCAGTTCAACATCTTAACTGGACATGATGCAAGTATGTAATTGCAGGAAAATACTGAAGCGCATAGCAACTTCACTTACTTGTAACATGCACCACAGCCAATATACATACGCAAGCTGTATGCCATGATGTCCCCTAAAAGTGTGCTGCATTGAAGAAATGATCCACAGTGTGCAATAATGATTCATCTTCTACAGGAAAACTCAAGTCCATGTTCACTAATCTGTGCTTTTATTTAGAGTATTGTAAAGACATGCTGAGTGTTTCTATAAGGTGTGGGTTCTTTTAAGGTACGTGGGATTTTTTTGTTTAAAATATTTGTCAGAAATAAATGAAGATAAACGCTAAAGAAAAGGTGTTAGAAATCTCCCAATTCCGGGAAAGAAAGAGGTTCATTAGGAGAGGATGGGATGTCGGAAGAAGACCAGAACCGGAGTCGATTAGAGAGAGATTGATGATTCGATGGAGATTTAGGAGTCTTTTCTTTATCCTTGATTTTGCTTCTCAAAAAGGCAATCTTTCTGCGCTGTGCAGCTAAATTGTTATCACCCAGGGATCACAAAAAGAAGAAAAAAAGGGGGAAAAAATTATAAATAAAAGTTAAATGTTCTAAAACAGATAAAGACAACACAACCCGTGAAAAATGAAAAAGGCTAAACAAAGACTAACACACATAGTTAGGAGACTCAGATTAATGCTCGGAACAATAAACAACTTCATTAAGAATTAAGTGTAAGATCTCCCCAAATATATCTTTATTTAAAAAAAACAAACAAAAAACCGAACACTACTCTAGTATATATTCAAATTTCCTTATGTCCTCTGGGCTTTAATACTGATACTCAGTATTAAATTACATAAGCATGTTTCACATAAAATCAAAAACAATAAAGCCTCAGAGAAATTTCTGCTATCGTTGGCACCTCAGTGAGGGCCTGGTTCTGGGGAAACCCAATCCCAGATTCGAAGGTGGGAATTCTGGATTCATGCTGAACACATTTAACATCTCCTGGAACCATATGAATGCATTTTATTTTAAGTGATTCAAAGACCTTGAAGAAATAAAATGGAGAAAGGGGAATAAAAAACCCAATGAAACAAACAAACAAAAAAATTAAACCGAACAGACACTTGGAGTAGTCTGTAACAACAGTTCAATCCTCCTCAACTTCTCGCTCCTCTCCTGTCTCCCCCACTTCCCAGTGGGGAACAGAAATTTTTACTCAAGGGCTAAGTTCAAAACTACTTATTGAAAAATATTCCTAGAGGACAAAATGTTATATAGAGAAACTGACAGGAGTGATCTTAACAGAATAAATGAACAGAATAAATGAATTTTATCTTTGATAAAGATCAGTTTGTTTATTTTGAAGAACTTTCTTTTCAATTTCCTATAATTAGGAACACCTGATTTACTGTACGAACTAACTCTGCCAAAATAGAATCATTTTCTCTTTCCTATGTTCCTCTTAGAGTGTTCCAAAAATCATTTCTGCATTTATGTTAAGAAATTCTTAATTCAATTCCAAGTCAGAACACTGTATCATTCACCAAAATAATTAGAGATTACATTTTTGAAATTGTTTCTTTTCTATGTGCGCCATCTCCTGGCAGCAGCTGTAAGACCAACTATTAACCATTTGAAGAATAGATGTTTATGAATCATAACATTACCTGGACCAGCTTTAAATTGCTTTGTTGTAAAGCTGCTGTAAATAAAATACTTCATAAATTTATTCAGTAACACGCAATACATTCAGGCAAACCATGAAACTATGTACAAAAGCTGAAGGGTCATGAACTAAACAAAAAGAAAAAAATCCACTAGTTTGCTAAAAAAAAAAAAAGGGATATAAAGCATAACGTGATTGAGTATCAACATATTCTGTATATCAAAACTTTCCAAAAAATAAACTGTTCAGCCTGTGAATTTAAGCTAGGTCTCTCTTACCTTTGTTTGAAGAACCCCCAGGGTTCTCTCTCTCTTCCATGGAGTTTGACCCTTGAGAAGTGTTATCCTGACTGTCTTGTGGATGTTTCAGTTTTTGGGAGATGGATGGAGAAGCTACTGTTTCTGGGGATTCAGAATGCCATGGAGGACTCTCTACTGATGACTTCACCCGCTCCCTTGTAGACTCTTTCTTTGGCTTGATTAATTTGACTAAGGCTCTGGCTCCAATCCAGTGGTTTTTCCTGATAAAGTGCATTTTGTGAATGGGATCATAAAATGCTTCAAAAATACTCCCCAAAGTTTACAGCTGTGCTAAAACCATCCTACATTCTTATTTTTCACTCTATCATTAATTTGTTGGAAAGATGCAACATGAATTTCACAGAGCTGGAGAGCCGGTTCTCTCCCAAAATCAAAATTATTTTACAGAAATATTTCTTCAGTATGCAAAACGTGAGAAAGACAGTTCTAGACAATTCCCCTTCTAAAAATCAGAATTACGTATACGGACCCACACAAGACATTTTAACAGTGTGAAAAGCTCTACTACCCAAACAGGCTGAGAAGGGAAGAAGTGAAAGCTGCTTTAGAAACGAATTCTTCACTTTGCTAAGGGTATTGATCAGATCCATGTATGATGGAATTAGCGTGGCTATTTTTTATTGGTGCTAATTTGATAATTTTAAAGTCTTTTCTCTCTGATGGATTCTTTATTCTCTTTGAAACAGCAGCTCTGGAAGCTATACTGCTACTTAGTCACTACATAGTGTCCCATCATTTCTTAGGGATGCAAACGCAGTGCTAGTGATGAAGGAGTTCCAAAACGCAGATTATTACAAAACACAGTGCTTTGTACAGGATGGTCAAACTATCCCCCAGTCCAAGTTGCCAGAAGCATGATTATTTATTGCTCAGCAAGCTTTCATATCCAATACCCTCCATGAGGCAGCAGCTGACCATACATATTCTGAGGCTCTAGCAAGAATGTTTAATAACTGATAGTTGATCATCAGCTTAGCATTACTTCAGTGGTTGACAGTTTCACATGTCCCAAACAATGGACATGGAAACAAACTCACGTATTTCTGTGCTGGAACCATTTTCTGACTTGAGGCCAAAGATAATTGGTAGCTTCTGACATTCTTAAGGTTTTCTTAGTTCTGAACTTAGGTCAGATCTATCACTGAACTTTAAAATGGCATAGTTTAACTAAATATGAAGCAATGCAGGTTTAACATTTCCCCCCCACCCCCTCGCCCCCCAAAGAAATTTCATTTTCCAAAAAGAGAAAGGATGAATGCGTACATCAAGGCATATGCCAGCCTGGTCACTGTGGTTAACCTGTGAGGGGTGACATCATAATTGCCAGCGCAAGTTGGCTCTATTCTAATTAACACCGTTTCAGATCCTGATATGAAATCACAGGACCGCCTGCGAGGCGCGCTGCTCTACATCAGCACAAGTTAAAGCATGGCTGCTGCTTTAGGCATGGGTTTCCAGACTGACAGTGAAGGCAGAAGTGGAGATGTCGCCAGTTTGTCCTTATTTCAGATGGAATTTCAATTATCTCTAGTTATGGAGAGTCCCTTCTCATCCTCACAGATCTGGACAGCAATAGTAGAAACAAACCCAAACGTGACTTACTTTTTTGGAGTAGGATCATAAAACTTATACTGATCCATTATCTTCTCTTCAAGTTTTTCCTTGTGCCTCCTTAAGGCATTTAACTTATCACTGTGAAGGGGAAAAGCACATTTTCAACTACCCATATAAAATTAAGCATCATTAAAAACCTGAAAACCAAAAGCCACCACTAGAGGAAAGAAACTGAAATACCTTCCTACTGTAAGGCCAGATGTACGCCTCAGAATCCTGCTAAGCTCATTCACTGTCTGTTTAGAAAGGGCAAATGAAAAAATTCTCAAACTTGCTGATGGGTGATTTTTTTGTTCAACAGGCATAAAAGGTGAAAGAAAACCAGTAGATTTATGTTAGAACAGTCATGAATATCTTTTGTTTGTTTGTTTTGACCAGTGGATGTCAAGGTTAATTTTGTTTTGTTTTTTGAAAACTTGTTTGTCGATTCTTCACTCTCATTTGCAGATCACTGACAAATTTCTTGCAGGTTAAGAGTCTTACTCAGTTTGAACTTTTTCTCTCTGTGCTAACTGGTTATTTTACTGCTGCTCTGCTTACTCTGTTGTAACTAGGGAAATTAATAACATTTTATCTTTTCAAAACTACTTTCATCTGTGAACACTGTTAAAGCACTTTCAGAAGTGCCATGTACGCTTACTGAATTTTACTCGTTATTTTATTAACACCCAGATAGGATGATAGCAATCGCATAAGCAAGAACCTTTTTTCATCCAGGGAAGAGAGCTAATGCACCTCCAGCACAGAACTATCAAACATCTGGATAAATATATTTGGAGTACATTTGAACCACACTCAGCTGGTTTCAGCAAAAAATTTCTAACGCCACCTGTGTTATCCAATACTAAAATAAAATTTGGTCAGTAACTCCCATGCAATTCTGAGGTGCTTGGACTAAAATTCTTCAGAATGTTTTTCTTCCTTTGTAGCAATCAGAGAAATTCACTGTAGTGAAAACAGGATTCTTTTTAAATATATGGTAAGTTTAAAAAGAGTATACTAAGTGTGTCACCTTGTGCAGTGGGGACAGACTGATGCGTGTTGAAACCTGAATCCTTTAGAAGAACGTGAAAGGAATATTTCCTATAATGCAAACGACCAAAACTAAAAGAGTACAATTATTTGTTATTCTCCAATAATCTAGAATATAAAATGACTCTAGTAAGTTGTTTTAGCATTCCATTTTTTTTATGGTTAAGTTTTTCACATTGCCATATCTGTGAAAAGAGCTGTGCTTACACAGGTGTCTTCCGAACATCCTTTGTGGTAAGCAATGCAAAGAAGTTAGGTAGCTTCTCCCCAGCACATAGCTCTCCTCCTGACCATCCCCTCTTCCAGCCAGGCATCAAATAGAACTGCCACTCTCCTGCCTGTTCTCCTACTCCTCACAGATGAGTAGTTTTTTATATTTACCTGTAAGGTTTAAGTTTCACAAATTAAATTACTAATTTCTTACATATACTGTTTCTGCTCTTCATGATACTGCTCTTTGTTCTCCATGTTCTGCTCCAGCAGCATCTGATTCTGCTGGCTCAGCATCTGAATCTGACTCAGGAGATGATGGTTCTCTTCTTCCAGATTTCCCTTTAGACGGGATAGCAGCTGTTAAACAGAAAGACAGATGAATCTCTTCTCTGCAACTCTGCAGCTGACTTCCCTGGAAACGCATCATAATTAAGCTAACACAGTAACAGAACAACCTGGGATACAAATTGCTAATTTTTGAAGTACGTGGTAGTGCCACTATGACCGTATAGTTTGACCTGCTATTTACAATGTGCCAAAAACTTCACACGGAGAATGTTAGCAGCCTAACAGGAATCTAACAGTGTACCTCCTTATAGCAACTTACCTCACAGTGGTTATCCAGCTTGGTCAGAGAGATATCCATGGACTGGTGCTGTTCTTTCAGCTCATCATAGCGAGCTTGCCAACGATTCAGCTCTAGCTGAGAGTTGTTCAAGGAAGTTTTCAGCTCTTTAGTGTGTGAATGTAGCCCTTCATATTCTGCCTTCAGTTGGCTATGCAAGAAATTCACCCTAAACATGAAGGAAGTAGACTTAACGAAGAATATTTCGTAGAAAGTATAATAACAAAGTGTTACAGAGAAGCAATAACAACATTATAAAATATACCAGATCTACAATAGCATTAAAAGGAAAAGAGATGGAACATGTTTGCTACTTCCTCAATGTGTAGGACACATTGCAAACTTCTGCGGCACAACGTGCTTTAGAGCATTTTTATATAAAGCTAGCTCTATTTGGCACAAATAAAGAATGCTCACAAAAGTATTTTTCTGATGCACGAAGTATGAGCGTTACTGTGTCCTGCACTGTAAGATATTGTAATGTTGTAAGATGATGCTGTAGGATTCTTTAAAAATTTTTGATAAATCTAAAAATAACTGCTATTCCTGAAGGCATAAAATTAATTAAACACAAACAGGAAAGAAAATCCTGTATCTGCTGACAGATCAGCTAAGACTTCCTCTCTTCCAACACTGCAACTAACATTTTGTAACACCTTCCCTTGTCACCACTGGAAAAAAGGCTCAGGATTGAAAACAGCAAGCTTGAGGAAACCTTGTTTGCAAAGCTGCAGTGTTCTGAAGTACATTACAACAGGAGAGTAAAAGAAACGTAATAGGTGATTTTTAAATGTAATTCCATCTGACACTGTTTGTACTTGTCGTTACCTTGGCGCCTTATTTGTTCCAAACTTTTTCTTAAAACATCTTTGTTGTACAAACAGTGGCACTGAACTGGTTGTAGTGATGCGTGCCCCAGTAGGGGTGCGTGTTGGTGCTAGGTAAACTTTGGAGGCTAGCTCACTAAAGGGTTTTAGCATGAATCAACAGTTACCCAATGATCATATGAAACACTACCTTCACTATCTTTTGAGTACTAACAAATGACAGCTTTCTCTGGACACAGTTACTACAGCGGAAAATAAACAGCAATGTTAATTCCTAGAACTAAAGCATGTTGTTTAAAAAACCATAATATAGTTTCTCTTAAGAGAGGAAATTTGGGTAGGAATCATTTCACAGAACTCAAGATTTTGGTGAGTCTTGGGTATTTGTAGTTCTACTTAAAGACAACCTCTTGAAAACAAATGATTGCAGAAACATACAAGTTTGCTAAACTTGTATAGACTTGTATATAACTTACAGATATGCTAAAGCTGTAGTAACACAACAGAGCAAAACTACTGTGCATTTTGCATAATTGACTTTTTAATGATATATACAACAATTTGGCAAGGGTGCCATACCTGTCGAGTTCCTCCCTCAGCTTCTGATTTTCCCCAGTGGTTATTGCATTTGTTCTCCTTTCTTGTTGCAGAACCTCTCTCTCAGTTTTTAAAACTATTTCCAGCTCTTCCAGTTCTGCCTTATGTTTCATTAAACTGTTGTATCTACAAGAGAGGGGTAAACGTGCTCTTAGCTTTCATGCATTTTTCTTCTTCTAGTTGAAGATTATTTTAATAGATGATACTACAACCATCAGTTATGAGTTTATTTTCTCTGTTCAGTTTTGTACAGACTTATGTGGCTAAAAACCCAAGACTGAAGAATTCCACAGTACGGATGGAAACTCAGCTTAATCTGTACGGCTACATGACGGTTTCTAGAAAAAAATTGTTTAAACAAATTGGAATGCAACTGTCAGGACCTTATTTCATTTTCAGATCCTGATCATTTGACAGAAAGTACATGAGTTCCCAGGGTGGAGAGAAACTGCATCATTTAACTGGGTCCTTGCTCATTAATAGTTATCAGTGGCAGGTTTCAAAAATATGACTGAAAAGTAGAATGCAGCAGCCAAAAAGCAAAAAAAACAAAAACAAAAAAAACCCAATATCAGTAGGAGGTGACAGTGAAACAGCCACAAGCAGAGGCTAACCTAGCTGCTTGAGTAGCTTTACTTGTTCACCAATGAGAAATCCAAGGGCAGCGTGGGTGTTTGTGCCTGGGCCTCAACAGGACAGGGCTCTATCTGTTGCCTGGTTTATTTGTGTGCAAGTTATTGACAGCAGGGACTGGGGCAGAGAGAGAGCGCAGATGCCTTCAACTATATCTTAAGTTTCCTCAAATAGCAGCAACGGTGGCACAACTTTGCTGACACCTGACACAGCCATAGATTAGGTGGGCTCAGCTTCCCTGAGCAGCTACCCTGCCTGTGTTCACAAAACACTGCAAAGTGCAAGGTGGGTTGAGGCCACTTTGTAAAAGAGCAAGTTGTTCTCAGAAGATTTTCCTCCACTGGTTGCCTCTGTCAGAGGCTGCACTCAAACACACGGGTAGCAGAAACCATTGGGGACACTGGTGCAGAGAAGATCAAACTCTCCAGTATGTTTTTCTGTGACAGTGATAAAAGGGTATTGCCCTGAAATATGCCTGGGCAGAGATATCTATGTCATTCACAGAAGACTCATTTTAAGCAATTTTAAAACAGCAACTCAACAGAAGACACAGCAATGCTTGAAAAAGGTTAGAACAAATATTGTCTGCACCAGTCCCACCAGCCACTGCTGACTTGTCTTAGCAGAGATGAATGCAGAGCACACACAGTCACTCTGCAGCCACTAAAACTCCAAAATAAAAACAGGAGACAGCACCAAGTGCATTGGCTCTTGCCAACTGGTTTTTCTTTCAAGCTACCATTCCCTTCATCCGAGTCATATTACAGCCTGTCCCAAATTCCAGTCCATTGAATGGTCATACAAAAAAGTACCTGTATCACAGACAAAACCTGCTTTTTACTATTCAACCCCAGTGGTAGCAGTGGAGTTTAATTAACCTTATTTATTTGTTTTCTTCTTTCATTCAGCTCCAGGACATTTCAAATTCAATGTCCACACAACAAATGGAAGAATCTGCAAGCAGAGGAAGGTTTCACATCCAGTTCCCAGAAGGATTTTCAAACAAGACTTTGTGCCAATTCAGAGTTTGAGAAGACAAACTCCACAGTCAGTACCTTGGCAGAGATAACCTTGGCCTTCTCTGTAGGAACTGTTGTAAATTCTCTCATCATTTCCTTTTCATAACACTCCTCTGTTCATTTTTACCCAACCCAAGCCTTTTGATTATTTTAAATGAGGACTACTGAGAAGGAAGCAGCATACTAGTCCGGTTTTACAGCTTCGCCCAGCTCCACATGCTGCCTTTGAACATGGAAGCTCCTGTAGTGGACCACAGCTGCTTCCCTAGACATTCAGGGAAAGACATAAAATTGGAGATTGTCTGCAAGAACGCAGATGATCGTGGATTGCCAGAGCCCTAGTGAAATCCCTAGGCAAAATTTACTGGTAATTTGGACTCGAGTCGGGAGTCTACCATTTGAGCAGAATTTACAAAACCTGACAAGCATGAACATACCACTGCAACGAAAGGCTTTACCACCAGGTGAGGTTACCCTACCCACAGGCTATTCAACACTCATGCTCATTCCATTTCCTTAGCATCAGTCCCAAGCAAATGGGAAGAGGGTTTTTAAAAGCATTTTCTTACAGTCGCAAATAAAATACATTTTGGCTCTGATGCAGTCCATTCCTGGACTTGGACAGCCATATTCCTCTTTACTCTTGTTCCAGCTGTGGTTTTTGGCTTTCACCCTTTCTGCCGCTCTGTTTGGAGAGATCCTGCGGGTGGATATTTATGACTGAGAAAATTTTAAAAATGCCCAGCTATGATAGGAAGCATATGGCAGAAGGAATCCGTAAGTGTGATTACCAGACAGCATTGCTAATGTAATAATGCAAGTTCCTGCAATATGTAACCCTGCACAGCAGTCATTCTCTTTTTCCAGTGTTTGTGCAGGATTACAGACTTGCCCAGAGCAAGTCACAAAGAACTGCTCAAGGCTCTGCCAATCAACTGTAGCTAGTAAGATATTATCTCCCCTTAGTAATGTGCAATATTTAGACCAATTTAAAAATACAGGCAAAAGAGTCCAACTTTCCACCGTTAACTGAGGCAGCTAACCAAACACCACAAAGTAAAGAAGCTGCTACTAATGGTAAACGGCTCTAACATACTAACTTTCCTTTTCTTGCTAAGTCAAACCCACACGTCTGTGGCTTGCTGGGCTGTGACAAGCCATTTCACTGCAGTTACACACAACCTATTATTAAATCCACAGTGCAGTACTAAGACTATGCAGATGTAGTTGAGGAGGTTTAATGAAGTTTACTCAGGTGCAGAAAACATTCTGTGGTATCAGAGGCATCAACGTGAGCCGCACAAACCTTTGGGATCCTGGCTGCCCATAGCATTAACAGGCCACAAGCTAACTGAAATTGCTGTGGATTTTTCTCTCGAGGTTTCTGCAGGAGTCCAGTCCTGCCATAAGCAACAGCACTATGATTAAATATGCTGTCACCAACTGAGAAAAATGAGTCTGGGACTTGCAACTTGGAGTTAGGGACAAGCAAAAACCTATCTTGCTCAGATAGTGCTCACCTGTACTCATCTGTTCGGGGAATATTAAGTGGGTGGCGTACTCTAGCTGAAGGCGAAAGAGGGATTTCATCTTACCATCTAAATGCCACTGAGTGGCAGAAGAAAACAAATAGTTCTCTTCCAGCTGCTTTTCAAACTTACTCCCATCTGCCCTTTGCAACCAGCTGAACACAGCACATGACTGGAAGAGGAAGAGGAGGGGGAAAGGAAAAAAAAAAAAAAAAACACACACCACACACACACACCACACAGTAATTTGCCCTCCTTTTTTTCTTCCTGACAGTCAAATGAAGACAGAGGCTGTCCTTGGACAAATCACCTTGACAAGCATCTTCCAGACTGACCTACTGAGGAGGACACTGCACTCTTAGAACTGCCAAAATTAACCAGCTCAGAGTATACAACAGGTCATCATCTGGTTCCTCTGCAACATTTCTTACTGGCAGTCACACCTCAGTAGGAGAGAATCCACATCGTTAATGTTCATAATAGTGGTCTGAGCACTTATGACTAGCAAGAACCTATTTTTCTGAAAGTCACTGTTTCCTTATGCTGCAATTGCTTAATAACTGGTACTCCTCAAGAAAAGAGGGAAGCCAGCAAACTACACCTACACATCACAGTGTGATATTCTTAACCAAAGCCTGCGTCAATGAGAACCATTAATCAGTCTGAGTCTACCTGGTAAGCATGAACAGTGTCTGTGTAATCACTTACAGCTCATTTAGCTGACAGCCAAGCAGCTGTCCTGTCAAGCAGCCTTGGTGGATATTTTCATCAGAATAGGTTTATTTCTGTACTTTATCAAAATCTACTGCCTACTGTATTGCCAGCTCCCTTTTTTTTTTTTTTTTTTTGGGGGGGGGGGGGGAAAGGAAAGTTTAGCATCAGTTTTTAGTCCACCCTCAAAGATCATCATTGACTTACTCTTCATCATTGACCCAACCTGGGGTCTTGCACAGAAACTCAACCTAAAAAACAGGTACTTTGGGGAAAATTGAAATGGTTAAAAAAAAAAGTTCTGATGAGTGGCCTTCACGTAGTAGCATATTATTTGTACTGTTACATTCAAGCACAATTGTTGGAAAATGACACTGACTAGCAACTAAACCATAAACTGATTAAACTGATTTCACAGTTCAGCTGAAAGTCCTGAAACAAAAGCCTTAGACTGTGAGAACTAGAAGGAAATAAATAATACATCACTATCTCACATCTAGCTCAATATGGCTTCCTTCAGACAGCCTCTGGTCATATGGGCGATGCCACACACAATCATCAATGATTTATATTGTTTCTCATATCACTCACACTTAGGTAATTAATTAGCTGACTTACAGATCTTACTGTATGACGAGAACAGATATCACATGGTAGGACTGGGAAAATCTTTTTAAGGATATGTGTTGTTATAGCCTCGATCCTCAAATGTAGTAAAGACCTTTAAGCTACTTGTGACAATGTATCCCCAAGACCCTGTTTACTAAATATCAGGAGTCATCTGTGGTCTGCCACCTTCACAGGTCTGAAACGTGCAAGTATTTTCATCTAATCTCCTAATGACAACCAAAATGAGAAGATACTTTGTCAAGAGTACATCTTATTATAATAATATAGTAATTTCTGTTTATAACTGGAGACCAAAATTTAAGACTAATACCTTTTGACTACACAGTTTCCCTAAACATTGAACAGTGAGCTTACCTCTCGCCCAGACTTTTATGCTCCAGATCCAGGTTTTTGTGTGATGCTTTCAGGCAGCTGTGCTGGTTTATTAGCATTTCATATTCTGTGGACTGCCGTTCATGCAGTGAAGCAAGGTGTTCATGATCTTGAAGCAATGATTCGTATTCAGCTTTTAGCTGCTCCTTCTGTTTCAGGAGATTTTCATTCTCATTCTCCTTGGCTGTCTGCTGATTTTGGAGTAAAGCATTCTGGGCCATTAGTGAAGCACTCTGGGAGCTGAGGGTTGAATTTTCCACCTAAAGTTTCTCAAACAAAAAGCACGCATATTTACTTACACTTACTAGTACATATCTGCATACAATTAATCAAGAACACATCTAATGCTTTGTAGACTTGAGACATTTATGGACACTTGGGCATCATTTCAGCATAGTGATATGCACCATACAAAGTCACGCTAGCAAGGGTTTGAAACGCGTAAGGATAACCTCCAAACTGTAATGACACTGCTGTACCAGCAGAAACTCTTCAGACTGGAGACCAGGGTCAGCTGGAACACCTGCAGCCCAACTACAGCTCTGACATCACGTTCAAAAGCCAAAGTTGCTTCATGCTCGTGTGTAACTGAAAACTTTTAAGTCCATCTAAACACAAGAGAATGAACTGCACCACTGTGTGTGGGGGCAGCATTCCTAACAAGTTTGATTTCAGTAGATGCATAGCACACTGATTTTATATGTTGCTGTTCTATTTCACTTGCAGGTGAAAATTAAGTTAAAAGAATCAAAAATTATGTGAATTGCAGTTTGAAAAGCTAGAAGAGAGTGAGTCAGAGACTATGAAAACTAGAGCTAATCTAAAGTTGTCTTTTAAAATTTTTCTCTTTCTTGAGCTAAATTTGTTTTTCCACAATTAAAATGACATTTAAGAGTAACTGCTTTTCATAGGCAACTTGTGTCCTATTCCCATTTCTTCAAAGTTCTTTCACAGACATAGCATTAACAGAAAAAAGAGCAAAGATCTTTTATTTTTAGTGCAGCTTCTAGAACAACAGATCCGGATTTTGCTGTATCATTAGTTCATTTTAAAAATTCCCCTCTAAATAATTACCTTCTTCATAAAGATAAACCCAGATAGTAGCTATAGAGCCAATTTCTCTCCTAGCTTAGAGAAAGTCAGATCTCAATCTAAGCTCCACTTTATGGCCCTCATCTCTACATAAGAGCATCAGCCAACATTTTCTTGTCAGCCGTCCCTCTCAACACCACCATAATGAAATCCAGTCTCCTGGTACAAAGGTGAAGGGTTGTTCTGACCTGGAGTTTGGCTGTCTGCGTCTGCAGGGCAGTGTTATGCTCCTGAAGGAAAACATTTTGTTTCTGCAGTGTCAAGATCTGATTGTTGAAGGAGACATTCTGCATTTCCAAGTGCTTCAGCTGTTCTTTAAGCAGCTGCTTCTCAGTATGCAGGGCAGCATTCTAAAAGAGACATGGGATTGAAGTGAGGTAACAGGAAGAAATGAAACAGCTGTTCTGATCATTTGGAGTCCTATCAAAGACGAAAACCCATTAGTGATGATCCTTCTGCAACAAATGCGCAAGAGGAAATTCTTCCCACCATTTAAGGAAGGTAGGACAGATGTTAAACATAAGGTTCATCCCGACAGAGATGCTACATAAGACAGATAAACTATTAAAGTCTCATGTGGTCCTAAGAGATGTCTGCGGAATTTGGTAGACTTGGGTGCTCAAAAAGCCCACCAGATTCCTACAGCCTTGAAAAAACAGGTCCTAGCGATCCACTCATGGTCACAAGGGAAGCCTGAGGAATAACAGGAAATGGAAGGCGGCTCACATTCCTTTCCAATTCGATTGCCCTGTCCTTCAGTTTCAGAAGCTCCATGGTAGCTTCTCGGTGCCCTGTTTCCAGTATCTCCTTCATTTGGTGATTGGGAATGAGTTTCTCTGCAGTATGCTCCAGTGAATTCTGAGCACGCTGCCCATCCAGTTGGGTCTGCTTGAGTGCATCAAAGTCCTTCTTTACCTATAAAGCCAATGAAGAACAAATTTTACAACTGATTCAGCAGTGGGATTTTATATTAATAATGATGTAACATGCAGTTCCCCTTTTACACTGTAAGCACTGAAAAGAGATTCAAGAACCATTACTCCTGCTCCACAGATTGTGAAGCTGAGGCACAGACAGGTGAAGGAACCTGCATCTCTCGGCCTGCAGTCAGGCACCCCTGACTCAAGCTCACTTAGGTTTGTTGTCACCTAACAAACAGGCTATCCTTAGGTGAGAAGCTTCAACTGCAGTCTGCCTCAGTCTATACTTTCACTGAAGAAAGTGGAAAAAAACACCATGGCCATGAAGAAAACATGGGGAAACAGAGACTGCAAATGGTGGTTACTTAAAAAACTCCTGCCCTAGACCACAGGCCAAGAATTTTGACAAGATCAGCGCTATTACGTATAACGGGGCAGGAGAAAGTAGTCAAGTCAAACAGCCTTTGAGGGAACTTGTATGCGGTGAGGAAAGAAATCCATATAACTTGTTCCCGTTGAGCAAAAAACATGTGAATGTGCAGAATCATATTGAGAATATTTAAAATGCAGTTCACCTCTTACCATATTTAGCTCATTCTGTAACTGTTGGTTCAAGTTCAGAGAGTCTTTCATTTGAGCTTCTAGCATTGCAATCTTTTCCTCTTTCAGAGCTACTGCTGTTTTTAGTGCTGATTCAGTTTTGCTTTCCAGAATCTTGTATTTTCTGAAAGACATGAGAAACACTTTCCAATATCTGCCAGTAGGTTATGAGCCACTATTTAGATAGCAGATTTCACCTTCACCCATTCTAAATGTCACACGTTACATTATAGGTGTTTGCATCTTCAGGAACATAATTTCCTTTACTGCCCCAGATCTCTGCTGACAGATTATTGCTGGGGAACCTGCTCATGGGGAAATCCAATCAATTTTGGTAGGGGTAATGACTACGTGGTTCTATAGGAATATTTAAAGCTAAATAATTTAACAGAAAGTAAGTTTTTCTATTTTGATCCTAATTACACTACAGATATTTCTTCTCATGTTTCTTCTGTACACTCCTGATAGGGAGAAAAAGCTGCAATAAACCCTAAAATTTTTCCAAAAAGCATATATTTCTCTAATTGGGTCTTATTAAGGGGCCTATATACATGTGGGTTGTTGGAGTTTCTTTGTTAATGACTATAGGATTTGCCATCAGGAATTTCTTAGGGAACATCTACGTTTACATTAACAGCTGGTTGGATCATCAAGTCTTGGCACACACCATTGAAGGACAACAGTTAGGCACTGTTCATCTTGCTTAAAGAGAAAATACCAGGAGAAATACACACAGTGAACATCATTGAATTAGTTATCCAGCTACTCTACAAGGAAACTGTAATATGAGTTTTTTTCCTTCTTTCGTTCTTTCTGAGAAAAGATTTTGCAAACCTTGCCAGGCTTGCTACAAAAAAATAGGCTGCACATTCAAAATTGGTAAGGGTAACTGGAGTGAGACAGATGAGAACAGAAAAGGCGGCTAGGGTCTTGAATTATGATGTCTGAGGGAGAGCCTTTGGAGTCACAAGCATGAGTAACAGAGCTCAGTTTCCTCACGTCTCATCATTGCCATTGTCATCCTGTAGCAGCAGCTCCTTGTTCAATCCTATCTTCTCCAGTTCCTGGCTCAGTTTGTCCAGCTCACTAGACAACTGTTGACTCTTCAGCTTCTCCAGAACCAGATCCTGTAACAGCACTGACATGATTAGTTGCTGTAAAAAGGACAGTGATAATTATCCAGCACTACAGATTTTTAAACCAAAGAGTATAAGAACAGCATTGGATAAAACCCTAGTCACAAGAAGGTCAGTGAAAATTTTTCATCAGTGTCAGCTCTGTGCAGAATTAAATTCATTCTCTTAATTTATAGTTTACTCAAAATTAAACTGAAGAATGCTCCTTTTGGCCTCTGTCGCACTCGCTGTACTGAATTTCTTACACCTGCATTGTCATCCTGCTCACCTGCCAGCAAAATGGATGTGCAGGCCAGGGGACACAGTGTCAGCAGAGGGAGTTCCCACCTCTCAGCAACTAGTATGAAAAGCCCAGCCTGCACTTGAGCGTGTGCACATGCAGACACACACATGAGTGACAGCACTTCAATATGCAGGTTTCCTGAGATAACTTGGTTAAGATCTGTTGCTAAGGAACTTAAGCATTTTCACTACTGACTCTGAGTTTTTGACATCGAGAAAGTTACTGGCATAATTAAACAAGTGTAATTTCATTGCTGCCTAAGTGACAGGCCAGCTCAGGAGACTACAGCTCTCCATTTGGTCACTCACACATTCTGGTAGCTACTGATCTGCTCTGGTCTCATTTAGTTTTCTCTGGAAGAAACTTAAGCAGAACAGAAAAGGGACTCATACAAGGAGGACAGTCAAGGGAGTTGTCCCAGAAGATTTACTGGGAGTGCGCTTTGCTGTTATACCATTGAAGTACTTGGCGTACAAATGGCCCGAGAAGTCTATCCGTTCAAAAGGATAAAATATTTTGGGTACACAGTTGTGTTCAAATGTTCTTGATGTGCAGAGTTCTTCTGAAAAAAACTAACCTTAGACTCAGAATGTGTGCAGGTGCCCATGTGCTAGCACATAAAATGGGATGAAAAAGTGAACTCTCAGAATGCAATGTGATTTTAGTTGCTGACTTACAGGGTTAGAATGTGAGCTAATACTTACACTTCATTGATTCAAATAAGCAACCTATAAAAATGAATATAAATAAAATAATGTATGTCAATTTTCAGGTAGTACACAGTCCTCACTGTCATTTGAGGTTTCCTAAAGTTTTTGAAGATGATTGTGCTTCAAAACACCCAACACTTTCTTATCAGTAATCCAGGGACACACTGCCAGGTACACGGACTGTTCTTTGTAATGACATGGTAATCACCAATAGCCTTGATAAGTTTTTTTTTCTTTAAAATATTAAGAGTACAGTGATTCCTAATCTAAGACAAATCTAGGGCCAAAAATACCACAACTTGAAATCTAATTTCAGCATGTCTACCCTGGAGAAATCCCTGGTGTTTAACTGGTATTGTTGCTAACCAAGTCTTTCACTGCAATTTTAACTAAGGCATGTTTAGGACGCACTGTTCTCTAAAATGCAGATGCACTCATAAAGACCTACACTGCCCATGGCCCTGTACAAAAATTTTCTTAAGGCATAGGAAAGGAACAAGAAAAATTACTCATACACTTCAGATAAGAAATTATCCTGGATATCAAACAGAAGCAAGAATAAAATGAAGAATTACTCTTTATTAAACATAACCTGCATGCATTCAACAGTCCTCTGATAACACAAATTTAGCCATATGCATACATGGAAGGGAAAAATGGTTAAGGTCAGTGTTTGTCAGTCCTTGGTCTGAAAACAGCCTCCTTCCTCAACATTCATGAACTCCTTCGAAGGAATCTATAGAAAGTAACTGATAGAAGGAAAATAATATATGCTTATGCATGGGTTTGCATCACTGGAACTTTTGCATAAGTCTGAGAGTGAAAAAGGGTTGAAAAGGAGCGTTTCCATAAATATTCTTTTACTTATTTTTCCGGAAAGTTGGACAGAAACAGAACTTTTTAAAGTGCTTCTGATAAACTGTTTTTCCTCCTGAAAATTACACTAATGCATCAAAAACTAAAATAAAACCAAATTTCAAAGTAGGTAATTGCTTGTGCTACATTAGCCTCGCTAAGTGTGTGCATTTCACTAAGTTACAGCAGCACTGAAAGCTCTCCTTTGAAACCTCTTAGAGTTTCACAGCAAATTCTCTACTAATTCTGGGCTGAATTCTTTATTAATCCTGGGCTGACTTGCAGCCCACTCCGACTGTCACGTCTGCATGCTGTATGCAGAAACTCAGTAGGTTCCAGTCAGATTTAAAGCCCCATCACTGTGTCTCCAATTGCCCTGGCCTTATTTATCTAGTGCAGGAACAGTAACCTTTGCCATACGATTCGCCAGTCTCTCCCTCTGCTCCTTCAGTCCCTTTCTGCTGCCGACTCAGCACGTTTCCAGCAGGATAACAGCAGCTGAGCCAGGAAATAACAGCAAGTTGCAATAACCTGAATCTGCTCATAGGCCACTTATAAGAGCACCAGGTTCTGGCACTGGTTCTAGCACACATGTTGTTGGTTTGTCATCTATGCCCTAATGCAACTAGCACATTTTTGAAAGACGACTACTAGGAAGAGTGGGACTACCGTATACTGCTGTGGACAGGTCTGCTGGAAGAGATCTCTGCTGCTTAATGACATGGGATTAGACACCACTCTCAGTCTGCCTGGAACCTCTTTGGGAAAAACATTGCAGATACATGCAAAGTAAGAACTCAGCTGTGACCGAAAGGGTTAGGTTGATGTTCTGGGATAGTTCTGATCACAATTAAGTTTGTTTTAGAGCAGGGATGTTAACATGTCCCCAGTTTATGCTCTAACTCTAAATTCTAAGCTTTTAAGAGTCAATCTTGCCTACTGCAGCTCTCTCATGTAAGCAAATAACCATATGTTCACTGGGTTAGAAAAAGTATCATTCGAAGTCTTAGGTTACAGCTACCCTTTGGAAGCTATGTTAAAACCCTGTTCTGCCTCAAGAAAGATGTCATTTGAGGCCACTGTATCTGTGGTCAGAGTGGTATGTTTTAATTTTTGGAAGTTCCACGTCCAAAAGACAACACTATCCTGTGATGCCTGGTAATACTGTGAAGATCTTCTAATTCATAGATCAAACAGTCATGGGACAGATGGCTCCCTTTGCTAGTTGATAGAGTAGAAACAAAAAATAGCAGATGAAACAGATGAAAAACAGTAGTATTATTTTACTTACCTCTCTCAATGTAGCTAGTGTTCTTTTATCAATTGTAACTTGCTTTATGAGATCTTTATTGTCCTTTTCAAATTCTTTCAGCTTATTAGATGAATCTCTGAATCGAGCAATTTCCTTTTCTAGTGTCGTTTTTTCTTTCTCAGCAGCCGCCAACTTGACTGTGCTATCATCCAAAATAGCATCTTTCAGTTCCACTTGCTGCCAAAGCCGCTTTGTTTCTTTCTCTAGCATTTTTTTGTCTTTCTCCAGCTGAGACATTTCTTGCTCTAGGTCTTTGTTCTCCTTCTCTAACCTCTCTAGCTGTTTGGTAGAAATCTTTAGCTCCTCCAGGTTTCTCTGGAGGACCTGATTTTCACTCTCCATTCCCTGCACTTCTTTCTCCAGCTCCTGGATCTTTTTGCTGCTGTTCCCCAGCATTTGCTGAAGTCTCTGGTTTTCGGAGTTGACACTTTGATAGCTTAGCTCCAGCCTTTCTGATTTCTTGCTCAGCACTTTTAACATTTCTACATTCTTCCTTAGGTCTTCTTTCTCCCTCTCCAAATCTTTATTCTCTGCTTCTATTTGTGCCATTTTTGTGCTGGTAAATCTCATGGTCTCTACCACTCTCCTGAGCTCCAGATTTTCTTCATCCAACTGCTTGTTGTCCCTTTCCAGGTCCCCAAGCCGGATGGAAACATTCTGCAATGTGTCCAGGGATTTTCTTAATTTCCTATTTTCCACTTCCAGATCCCCATTTTCCTGCTCAAGAACTTCAACTTTTTCAGTCACTATTTTCATGGCTGCTGCCTTCTTCGTGAGCTGTTCGTTCTCCCTCTCCAGTCGATGGAGTTCTTTCTCCATTTCTTCCACTC